TATGAATGTAAAGCTAATTTCTCATGTAAACTATCACATAATTCACAATAAAAACTTAAAACAAAAAACTAATATTGTCACTAAACTATGTTATAATTACCAAAAAAGCATTCATTAAAATTTACTTGAGTCTGAAGAAAAAAAAAAAAAGAGCCAAAAAACAAGATTCCAAATTGATGGAATACAAATTGATATCTTTCAGCAAACTGATGCGGCATTGGAGGCACTCATTCATCTATGCCAAGAAATGTGGAGGACAGTTACCTGGCCAACTGATTGGAAGACACCCATATTCATGGCCATTCCATAGAAAGGTGACCAAATGGAATGTGGAAATCATCAGACAATATCATTAGTATCCCATGTAAGTAAAATTTGGTAAAGATAATCCAAAAGCGTTTGCAATTATCTTTAGACAGGGAACTACCAGAGGTTCAAGCCAGATTCAGAAGAGGATGTGGAATGAGGTATATAATTGCTGGCATCAGACGGATATTGGCTGAAAATAGAGAATACCAGAAAGATATTTACCTGTGCTTTATTGACTATGCAAAGGCTTTCGATTGTATGGATCGTGACAAGCATGGGCAACTTTGTGAAGAATGAGTACTCTGGAACACCTAATTGTGCTCATGAGACACCTGTATATGAACCAACAGGCAGTTGTTCAAACAGAACAAAGGAACACTGAATGGTTTAAAAATAGGAAAGGTGTACTCCAGGGTTGTATTCTTTCACCACACTTATTCAATCTGTATGCTGAGCAAATACTTTGAGAAACTGGATTATGTGAAGAAGAATGTGGCATCAAGATTGGAAGAGGACTCATTAACAACCTGAGATATGCAGATGATATAACCTTGCTTGCTGAAAGTAAAGAGGACTTAAAATACTTACTGATGAAGATCAAAGTCCACACCCTTTAGTATGGGCTGCACCTCAAAGTAAAAAAAATTAAAATCCTCACCACTGGACCAATAAACAACATCTATATTTGAAGACTGAAGTTGTCAACAGAGTCCATTTTGCTCCGATCAACCATCAACACTCATGGAATCAGTAGTCAAGAAATCAAACATCATATTGCATTAAAAAAATCTACACAAGATCTCCTAAAAGTGTTGAAGAACAAACTTTTTTTTGAGGACTAAGTTGTGCCTGACTCAAGCCGTGGTGTTTTCAATAACCTCATATGCATGTGAAAGCTGGACAGTGAATAAAGAAGACTGTAGAAGATTTGATGCATTTGAGTTATGATGTTGGAGGAGAATATTACAAGTATTGACTGCCAGAAGAACAAACAAATTAGTGTTGGAAGAAGTACAGCCAGACTGCTCCTTAGAAGCCAGGATGGCCAGGTTTTATCTCTTCATATTTCAGACATATCAGGAAGGACCAGTCCCTTTAGAAGGACATCATAGTTGGTAAAGTGGAGGATCAGGGCAAAAGAGGAAGACCTCCAACGAGATGGAATGGCACAGTGACAGTAGCAATGGGTTCAGGTGTATCAACGATTGTAAGGTTGGCGCAGGACCGGGCAGTGTTTAGGTCTGTGTGCATAAGGTCACTATGAGTCGGTACCGACTGAATGGTACCTAACAATGACAACAACAACAATGTCCAACAGTTGTTTCTATTACTGTCAGGCTTACATGAATAGATCCAATTAAAGTTCTTGGAACAGTGCCTGGTATATGTTGTTAGTTACCATCAGTTGATTTTGACTCATGGAGACGCCATGCATTGCAGAGAACTGCTTCATAGGGTTTTTTTGGCCATAATCTTACTATAAACACATTGCCAGGTCTTTTCTTCCTCAGTATTGCTGGGTGGGTTCAAACTGTCAACCTTTAGGTTAGCAATTTAATGCAAACAGTTTGCACAACTCATAATTTGCCTCGTAGACAACATCAAAATCCACTGCCATTGAGTCTATTCTGACTCATATCCATCTAAAGGACAAAATAGAACTGTTCCTTTAGAGTTTTGAGATTGTAAACCTTACTCCTTAGAGCAGCAGGTGGGTTTGAACTGCCAATCTTGAGGTTAGTAGCTCAACATCTAACTCGCAGCCCCATGAGGGCTACTGCTTAATAAATCCTAGTTATTCTTATTGTCCCTCATGGAGGACATGCAGGGCCAGCCTAGTGCTGGCTCACCCAATGTGGATGGACCTACTGTGGCCCACTGGCCCCACTCCGCCCGCTGCTTTCCGCACCATGCATGCCACGGAGCAATACATCCACACCGTTCTGGTAGTGGTTGAAGGCCGCCTCATAGTCCTCACTGACATCACGCTCTAGGGCCAGACGGATTTGTGTGGCTGCATCCACCAGGTAGTCACGCTTGGTCATTTCGGGCGCCCCGGGGGCCACATGATTTCGAATCTGCTCCAAGTACATGTGGGCCTGGGTCCGGGCTCGGGAGAAGGGTTCAGGCTCTAGACCAGGGCCAGGCGGACACTCGCAGGCTACCAGGCTCATGACTGCCCCGCGGTTGTGACCTGGAATGGGTAGACATGTTGGGAGTGGGCATCTGGGAGTGATAGCCCTATACGAACCTCCATTTCCTCCATTGAATGTTGGGGAGACAACTTCAGGAATTAGAGCTAATGTGGAAGGTGCCTTCACTGGGCTTCCTTAGTGGAGGTCAGAGCAGAGTCAGACCTCGGGCAAGGACTTCTTGAGCCCCTGTAATGGATTGAGCATTGCAGAGAGCTGGGAACATTGCTGATTCAGAAGCTGTGTCCAATACATGTTAAAACTCGGGAGGCCACCCCACTTCCTCACTCCTCCTCTGGGGATCAGTTCAGCTAGCACCTCCCTGGACAGAGACAGTAGTCTTGCTTTACTGCATTTGGATCTGTACTGATGACTTAGGTCTGGGGTCACTGAGTGAGACTCCCACACACACTGTCACTCCCCATCCTCGGGCTGCCACCCCACTCCTTGCACTGAGCCCCTGGGTACAGTCACGACTGCCCGCTGAGCAGACAGAGTTACATTGGGTTGGAGGGGCTGCCTCGGTCCTCTTGCCTCCACCTCTGTGAAGTCCAGGAGGCCATGTGGCCTCCTCCCTGAGCAGTGTGTGTTGAGTGCCCAGTGGCTGCAGGACTGGAAAAGGCTCTGAGAGGTCAGCAGATCACCAGAACTCACTCATTTGCTCTCTCAATCCCACTGGGCAGGTGAAGAACCCGGAACTCCCAACCCCAGGCCACAGGGAGGAGCAGGACATGGTTTCACAACGAGGAACCCACATCCATAAGACACTGGAGAGCTGTATCCAGGCTAGGATGCGACCAGGAGGCTGCACCTTGCCTCTTTCACCGAGCCCAGGGAGACATGTGGCTCTGGGGTCTGTGCTCAGGGGTAACCGGGCCGGCTTCAGGGGCCATCCCACTGGGAAGAGCTGCACCGAGGTGCGTCGGGTCCGCGATGCCCCGCGCACAAGGTGCACGTTTCGCAGGGCCTGGCTGTTGGGAGCTAGGGAGAGGGCGCAAGGTGGAGGAAGAGCCAGGCAACATTCGTTCCTGCCACAGCCTTGTACCTACCCCAGTCACCGCCGCCACTTCAGCCCGCTGGGCGGCCTTGAGCCTGCGGCTGCTTCCCTTCCTCCATCCTGGTGCAGGGTTCTAGCGGTGCAATGCTAGTCATTGGCTCCGGATGAGCTCATCCTCTAGAGTTAGAATAAACCACCAATCACCGCCTGGATCGGCTTCGGCCGGCCCCTAAAGTCACAGGGTCCGCGCTGCGAGGCGCTCTCCTGGTAGGGAGGGGACCCAGAGGTGGAAGAGAGGTCCGTGGTCCCCCAGGGATGGGGAGGGGCGAATTTAGAAACCTGACCTATTGTAAAGTACCCATAGAGCCTCTAAGATACTCAGCTATTTAATAATTATGTATTGAGAGTCATCTACGCGTGAGGAGTTAGGTGCTGAGACCCAGTGATGAATCAGACAGTCTTTGTTACTGTCCTCATGGAATTTACAGTCTATGAGGAGGGATACAGAGACTAAAGGACTGAATAACACAGTTGATATTTCGATTCAGAAGTGAAAGAATTGTATGCAAGACCTATAGGGACAGAAGTGAAATCGGAACTGAAATAAAAGTCAAGTCCACAGACCTATGATCCTTCCTAGTTCCCTACTTCATTATACCCTTCACCTCTGCTGACTCCCACCACCTCCTTCCCTATCATCATTCTCAGCCACTCATAGCCTCCTTCTTCCCTTGCAAACAGACTCCCACCTGTCTGCCTTCCCCCACCCCCCCAATAGTGGTCTCCCTGTACCATGTCACCGGCCAGCCTCCCACTTTGCCTCCCTTACCTATTCAAGGATAGGTCTCACGCAATCCTCCTCCCTCCCTCTTATATCATTACTTTTTTACTCTTACTGGATCATTCCTATTTGATACAAATATAATGCAATTTCTCCCATCTTAAAACCAAAACAGAAAACAGACATGGCCTCGCTTCCCCCTCTACCTGTCATCCTAGGAAGAGATAGGTATATTTCTGCCTCCAGTGTCTCTTTTCCCATTCTCTTCTGAACCTATTCCAACAGTGCTTTCTTCCTGAACATTCTGTTAAAACTGCTCTTCACCAGGTTACCAATGACCAATGACCATTGCTAAACATTTCTCATCTTTCTTGCTCTAACAGGAGCATCTGGAAGGTGCTCAAGCTCTCCCCTGGCTTATGAGACCACACACTTTTGGTTGCCTCCTGTCTAAGTCACTGGTTACCCCTTCTTAGGCTCCTTCTCCCCAGCTTTTGAATGTTACAGTGTCATCTCTGTCCAAGGTCTTAATCCTTGGCATCTCCTGTCCCCCTCCCTATACTAGTTTGGTGAGATTGTACCTAGTTTTGTGACTTTAAATAGTATTTTCCCATATACTGGACTTGTTTTCATTTTCTTCATCTTCAGTTTAAATTTGCGTATGAGTAATTGATGATCTGTTCCATAATCTGCCCCTGGCCTTGTTTTCACTGATGATATGGAGTTTTTCTATCATCTCTTTCTGCAGATGTAGTCAATTTGATTTCTATGTATTCCATCTGGTGAGGTCCATGTGTATAATCGTCTCTTATGCTGTCTAAAGAAGGTATTTGACATGAACAAATCATTGGTTTTGCAGAATTCTATCATGTGATCTCCAGCATAATTTCTATCACCAAGGCCATATTGTCCAACTACTGATCCTTCCTCTTTGCTCCCAACCTTTGCATTCCAATCATCAGGAATGATTAATACATCTTGATTGCATGTTTGATCAATTTCAGATTGAAGATCTTGATAGAATTTTTCTTTTCACATCCTCACTGGCTTTAGTGGTTGGTGCATAAATTTGAATAATAGTGGTATTAACTGGGCTTCCCTGTAGGCGCATGGAAATTATCCTATCACAGACAGCATTGTACTTCATGACTGATTTGGATATGTTCTTTTTGATGATGAGTGCAACACCATTCCTCTTCAAGTTGTCATTCCCCACATAGTAAACCATGTGGTCTTCAGATTCAAAACGGCCAATACCAGTCCATTTCAGCTCACTAATGCCTAAGATATTGATGTTTATGTGTTCCATTTCATTTTTGACAATTTCTAATTTCTCTAGATTCATACTTTGTACATTCCATGTTAAGATTATTAATGGATAATACAGCTGTTTCTCTTTATTTTTAGTTGTGCCCCATCAGCACATGAAGGTCCCGCAGACTTTACTCCCATGGGCTTTACTCCATTCACATTATCACAGTCAACTCTACTTTGAGGAGGCAGCTCTTCCCCAATTGCATTTTGAGTGCCTTCCAACCTGAGGGGTTCATTTTCCGGCACTATATCTGACAGTGTTTCTCTGTTATTCATAAGGATTATTCAGAAGTAGTTCGTCACTCCTTCTTCCTAGTCTGTCTTCATCTGGAAGCTCATCTGAAACCTGTCCACCATGGGTGACCCTGCTGGTATATAAAATACCGTTGGCATAGCTTCTAGAATCACAGAAACTCACAAGCCACCACAGTACGACAAACTGACAGATGAATGGTGGATTCCAACTCATAGCGACCCTGAAGAGAATTTCTGAGCTCCATGGAACAGCTGGCAGTTTCGAACTGCTGGCCTTGAGGTTAGCAGACTAATACGTAACCACTATGCAACCAGACAACCAGAGCTCCTTTCAACAACATTGAGGGCATGTATATAACCAACAGCCAACCTCCCTTTCAATGGACATAAACTAAAAGCATTCCCCTTGTGAACAGAAAGCAGAAACGGATGCCATTTATCACCACTTCTATTCAATATTGTCTTGGTAGTCTTTTTCATAGCTATAAGGTAAGAAAGGAACATTAAAGGCATCCAAATTGGCAAAGAAGAAATAAAACTCTTTAGTTGAAAATGATGTGGTCTTTCTTATACATAGATAATTCCAGAGACTCAGCAAGAGAATTATTGGAACTCATTGAAAGATTCAGCAAAGTGACAGGCTATAAGATCAATATATAAAAATCAGTTGGATTCCTTTACACTAATAAAGAGAGCTCTGAAAAGGAAATTAGGAAAACAGTACCATTTACAATAGCCACCTGAAAGATGAAATACTTAGGAATAAGTCTAACCAGAGAAACAAAAGACTATACAAAGAAAACTACAAGACACTACTACAAGAAACCAAATGAGACCTACAAAAATGAAAGAACTTACCATGCTTATGGATAGGAAGATTTAGCGTTGTGAAAATGTCAACATTTCCCAAAGTAATCTATAGAAATAATGTAATTCCAATCCAGATTCCAATATCATCCTTTAAAGAGATGGAAAAACTAATCACTAAAGAGCACAGCCTTCGGTATAGATTACA